GATTAGAGGCTTCAACAGGATTTTAATAACTTGTCACTGAACGGTTCAGGGCCAAAACACACACGTGACCTGCTGCCACGTTACGAACCATCCCGACCCCCCAGGTCCTCTGGCTCTGCTCTCTGTTCCCAGAGTCACAACCAAACATGGAGAAGCAGCTTCACATCTTCTGCTACACATCTGGAACAAACTGCCAGAAAGCTGAAGGTCTGCTGAGACTCTCAGCGGCTTCAAATTAAGACTGAAGACGTTTCTGTTGGCTGCAGCTTTTAATTGAACCAGACGGGGATGTTGATCGATTTACTGCATCTCTGCATATTATTACTGTATTTTACTATTTAGAGTCTAAAACTACACTACACGCTTTAATGTAAAGCCCTTTGAATTACATTGTTGTTGAAATGTGCTAACTCAAAAGAACTTTATTAATACTATGATAAAAAATAATGAAGATATCCTACTTTACAATCCCAATTTACTTAACACATCTCGAACTGTTGTTAAATTAAGATTATTTTGACTATAAACAATGACTGACGGACCCTGTGGTGTAGATTCTGTTAAAGGGGTTTTCCTTAATACATTTAAAAATCAGACTTGTTAAAAAAGTATTTTTTTTTCCCTTAATGGTGAAACAAAGTATGACAATACGTTGGTCATATCTGGCTCACATTCAGTTAAGCTCATTACACATTTCCAATAAATATGAAATCTCAAGACTCAGTTGAGTTAACTGTTTCTAGATGTATTGCAACCAAAGAAAGACAAACCTATGTTTACTTTACAATAACAATCCTAATATTTTAGTATTTCTTGCCATTTCCAATAATTATAAAAATTCAAGTTGAGAACTTTTTCTGCATTTATTGGAACTAGAGAAAGAGAAACATCCGTCTACTTTAAAATAACATACTGATAACAATGAATTTGATGAAATGTTATTTATTATGTTGAACAAAATAAAAGAACAGAACTTATTGAATGAAACAGCAACTTAGACAATGATTAAAACAAGAAATGAACAGAAAATGTAGAGTTACAGGCAGACTGAACCAGTATGAGAGTGAACCAGTATCAGAGCCCCAGTGGCTCAGCTCACTGGGAACACTGGTCTCTCCTCAGCGTCTCTGAGAGCGCAGTCTGGGAGCCCTGGGTGGCCTCACAGGTCACGGAGCCCACCTTGGCCCACTGGTCTGTAGGGAGCCTCAGGGTGCTGCTCCAGCTGTAGAGGGCGCCCCCCCCCAGCACCCCGGGGCTCCTGCTCTCCTCCCAGCTGCTGCTGCTGCCGTCCACCTTCCAGGCCAGACTCCAGTCGGAGGGGAAGCCCTTGTCGGCCAGGCACACCAGCGTGGCCGTCCCCTGCTGCAGCTCCTCCCTGGAGGGGGGCAGCACCGTCAGGGTGGGCCGGACATCACCTAGGAGACACGATCAGCTGTCAATCAAGCACCAGACATGGGACCCCTTCACTGTGAGAGGGCCGATTCAGTCCTTTGAGGAGTTTCTGCCAGATGTTTCTTCTGCTCCAGCAGTCACTCACTCACACCATGTTTCACTTCCCTTCAAGAAGCCTCTCATGCACATCAGCACAGAGACAATCCTCAGACAGGAGGACATGAAACCACAGAAGAAACGTCCACATGAGGACAAATGTTCAAACTGTCCAAAAACGTTGGTCTAAAATAATGACTTCAAGCGTGAATTAATAGAGAAAATAAACCAACAGCAATCAAACTTTCTTCATGTGGATTTCAGGCAAAGTTTAAAAAATATGGTTTTAAAGTTCAAGACGTTTGAGAGAATGAAGTCGATCGTTAACTCGTCCGTAAACATTTATTCAAATAATCGGATCATTTTTCATTATGAAAAAACAAAAACCAACATTCTGATATTTTTCTCGAGGTTCATGTTTTTTACACGTTATAATTTAAATGGAGTTTGTAACAAAACGTTTAGTAGAGCTTCTCTAATATAAATGTATAAAGGAGGAGAAACTAAGGCATGAAATCAGAAAGAGCTTTAAATAAAGAAACAGATATTTTTACTTTGACTTTTCATACAAATAACGTTTTAAAGTTCACTGATGGAAAGTTTTTCTCGGATTGCAAAAAATCAGCCCTGAATTACATGCATAAATATATAAAAGCATCTATTTTCTGTTTTGCCTGTTGAATACAAATATAAATATAACACATTATAGTCAGAAACAATGAGATTATTAAAGGTTTGACTTACTTCCAACGCTCAGTCTGGTTCCTCCACCAAACGTCCACCACAGTGACACGAAGGCATCGAACCGCCGTACAAAAACCTGTGAGAGTAGAGACACACGACTCTGTGACAGACACACAAACACACTACACACATTCAGTGTGTACAAGACCTCGACCCATCAAACTGATCAACACAAAGTAAATGTGTATTCAACCGGTTATTTGATGAACGTTTGACATCTGTGAGTGATATTTAATTAATAAAAAACAAATAAATGATTACTAAAGAACATTTTACAAAAATGTATATTAATATTTTAGTGTTTCTTTACACATTTCCAATATCCAAAAATGTGAAAATTATTATAAATTTATTTTTATTGTGCGCAATCAGAATGAAAAAATATCCATTTTGATGAACTTTGTCTCATTGTGATGTTAATTTACATTGTAGTAAATTTTGGGGATCTTATAAAACATTTGGGAAGAAAAGTTTTCCATCAAACGGCATCAAAGACTCGTTAACGAGCACTGACACATTCCTGATCAATGGAGCGATCAGCTGATTGATCCATTGATCACCAGCGTCATCAGAGGAGTCAGGCACAGCATTTCCATAGAGACACTTTGCATCAGCAGCACATGCTCCAGTGCTCTGGGAGACCTTATAGTCCTGAGAGTTGGACCCTGGAGGACAGCTGTCCTTCATCACAGCAGAAGACACAGAGATCCTCCTCATCACAAACATGACTCTGATCTGCGTCCTCGTCTGGACTCTCCTCTGCTTCACAGGTAAAGTCCAGAGGACCAAAGTCCTCTCCTCTGTGGACGTGCGTCCCTCTGAAATGAAGGAGACACGACCATGACGCTGCTTTATGTCTTTGTCTCCGTGTCCTCAGAGTCCAGAGGCCAGGTCACAGTGACTCAGCTTGGAGCAATGAGCTCTGCTGCTGGAGGCTCCGTCTCCATCTCATGTACAACCAGTCAGAGTGTTTATGGCTCTAATCGTTTAGCCTGGTACCAACAGAGAGACGGAGGAGCTCCTAAGCTGCTGATTTATTCTGCTACCAGTCGAGCATCAGAGACTCCAGGTCGTTTTACAGGCAGTGGATCAGGATCTTCCTTCACTCTGAGCATCAGTGGAGTTACAGCTGAAGATGCAGCACATTACTACTGTCAGAGTTTTCATGTAATCAACAGTCAGTGGGTGTTCACACAGTGAAAAAGAGTCGTACAAAAACCTCCTTCAGTCAGAAGGAACAGAAACCGAACTGACAGCTGACGCACTTCACTGGATACACACACACACACACACACACACACACACAATGTACACGTTCATCAAGAGCTTTTAGTCTTTCACTATTATTACTGTAACCACTAATGAACATTTATTACAAAGAGTTCAAGGACAAAAAGGATCTTGATGGAATTCAAATGATTCTTTCCCCCATATGTTCCAACTCAGTCTCACAGCAAAATGTGTAATAGGGATGTTGGTCCACAAGGGAAAACGTAGTATTCGAGATAGTAGGTAGATTTTGAGAAAAGTAAAGATGAAATCAGTAATATTGACATGATATTCGTCTTTTCTCAATCTTTGAACTGTCTGTAAACCAGATCCAAAAATGGTATCACTCTGCTTTCACTTGATCCTACTGCGTGTTGACCTCCTCTATGCTCATGTAAAATAGTGTGTTTATCACAGATAACAGACCGACAGTCCGCCATTATCTTTTTTTAGCTGAGGGTAACTTGATAGTCACGTGACCCAATTGCAAGGAAATGTAAATGAATAGGCCGAATAAAACGGAGTATTGTCACAATTTTGGGGGCAAATGGCGACAATACTACGTTGTCCCTTGTGGACCAACGTAGCTTTTACATATTTTGCTGTGAGACAGCTATGAATGAAGAAGTAGGTGAGACTTATTTAAACCACATTACCTGAAACAGAGAGAGAATTATCATGAACGTTCAACGAGGCAAACAGACTTTTATCATCCAGTTGAATGAATGATCTCATTTGATCTGGTCTCTCAGATTAGTGAAGCTGCAGATAAGAGACGATCTGGAGGAATAAGTGCGACCAGGTTGCATTAGTGCGTCTGTCTTTGGGTTCATACAGAATGAGATGTTAGCGTCATGCTACGTGTTGTGAGCTATGAAAGGACTCGTCAGCGTTCATGCGTCTCTGCAGGCGGCGGCTGTTCTTCTTTCTGTCTCATACTCAGATCACGACTGAAAGAACTTGTGTGAAGGAAACGCAGATGTTTCTCATTCTGGTTCATTACTAGAACGTCTACTTATTGAAATAGATGTTCTCTGTTACTGTGTTTTATCAATGAAACCGGCACCAACACACAAAAGACTGAATGCACAGAGAAGTTGAAGCACGAGGTGATTACCTGAAGGCAGCGTTCAATAGGTACGTAGACTGGAAAGCACATGTAGGGAGGGAAGAGCGTTATGGCCGATACTCTAAAAGAGACAGAACAAACCGGCCCAGAGAGAAGAGGACACGAAGAAACACACAATGAAAGGAGGGACACAACCAGCAAGAAGCACACGATCACAAAGTGGGGAAACACAAGAGCCGAGTCCACCGAAATAAAACAGGAAATATTAACTGAAAACTGGAGACAAGAAGAAAATCACCTCAGAGGAGAGTTGTGACACGTGAACCATGAAGAAATGTTGTTCTACAGAATAAAACCAAGCTGAAGATCCTGGTGGAAACTTCTCTTGATTAATGTTTCACTGTTTAATTCACACGACTGATGGTTGTGTTTGTGGAAACTTTAATAAAGCTCAAACTGTTCTTTGGAGGGTTGAAGAAGAGTCTTCAGTTCATGGTCATGTTAACGTGTTTCTTAAGAAGTTACATCACAGGTGATTTAAATAGTGAAACCCGGTCATGTGACGAGGACTCACTGGCTCCGTGTGTTTGCATACGTGTCCTTCCTCTCTGCTCACACGCCTTAAGAGAGCTGATCAGTGGCGGTCCAGGCCTCACGCACACTGGCACGCCGGCAGCACAATGATGATGTCACTGAGTCTACTGCTGACCAGCCTGGGGCTCCTTGTTCAGGGTGAGACCCTCTTCTGGAGGCTTTGCTTCTCCACAGGGACGTTCTGCTGTGATGGAGAACCAGTGGAACAAGCAGTGTGGACCTTCTTCACCTGTTGTCCGTGTTGAAGAAATGAGACTCTTCTGTCTGGATGTTGATCATCTTTCTCCAAACTGGATTTGTCTCAATAACCCTTCTGCTCTTCTTCATGTTTCCCAGGTTCATCAGGAGAAATCAAGCTGACTCAGTCTCCTGGATCTCAGTCTGTTCTTCCAGGACAGACTGTCTCCATCAGGTGTAAAGCCAATTCTGGCATCAGTAGCAACCTTCACTGGTACCTACAGAAACCAGAAGAATCTCCCAAACTTTTGATTTATCACGCTACAAATCGTCAGTCTGGGATCTCAGATCGTTTCAGTGGAAGTCGATCTAGAAGTGACTTCACTCTGACCATCAGAGGAGTTCTGACTGAAGATGCAGGAGATTATTATTGTCAGCAGGGTTACAGCTCCCCGTTCACACAGTGAAACAACGTCGTACAAAAACCTCCTCAGCTGGAGAGGAACTGATCCACTCAACAGCTGCACAGGAACACAGACACTTAACGTTTGAGTGACACTTTAACGTTTTTAAAGTTGTCAGAAAATATTGTTACAAATAGAATGAATTATAATCTAGTTGAATATGGGAAAAGATCCGTTAATACAATTTACATGATCACTATATATTAATCTCTGAAATACAATATTCACCTCTATATGTTTTCAAGGATCATTTTTGTGATTCGGATTTATTTGTTAATATGATAGATATAAAAGTTTAATAATAACTATATAATAATATGGTTAGTTATATAGTTATAGGTAGTTATAGTTTATTTTCCAACCAACCTAAATGGATGGTTTGTGTTTTAATGATCTTGTAATCATAGTAGAACACTACAGTTGTGTTTTATTTGGATCCTACTGCTTTTATTACAGTCTTAGTATTACTGGAACTCAGTGCGGCGTTCAACAAGGTCAAAGGTGACACATTACGAGACGGACTGAGAGTCTGGGTGAGACTCTCTGGCTCAACACGACGCTGGTTTGAATCCTACTTGAAGAACCGCGAGCACTTTGTGTCTGTAGATAATTACACATCACAGCGGATTAAAACACATGAGTGTTCCCCAAGGTTCCTTCCTGGGGCCTCTCCGGTTCAATATCTACATGCTTCCACCTGCTCACATTATGCAAAGAAACAAAGTGTGTATTCGTTATTATGCAGACGACACACACATCTACTATGATCCCCACTGTCACCTGAAGAATATATCAAGGATTAGAGGCTTCAACAGGATTTTAATAACTTGTCACTGAACGGTTCAGGGCCAAAACACACGCGTGACCTGCTGCCACCTTACGAACCATCCCGACCCCCCAGGTCCTCTGGCTCTGCTCTCTGTTCCCATAGTCACAACCAATCATGGAGAAGCAGCTTCACTTCTTCTGCTCCACATCTGGAACAAACTCCCAGAAAGCTGCAGGTCTGCTGAGACTCTCAGCGGCTTCAAATTAAGACTGAAGACGTTTCTGTTGGCTGCAGCTTTTAATTGAACCAGACAGGGATGTTGATCCATTTACTGCATCTCTGCATATTCTTACTATATTTCACTATTTAGAGTCTCAAACTACACTGTAATGTTTATTCAGATTAAAGCTTGTTTATTGTTTTAGTAATAAATGTTCAAATCAATGTTCTTCACTCATGATGCTTTTAATGCTTTAATGTGAAGCTCTTTGAATAACCTTGTTGTTGAAATGTGCTGTAAGAATAAACTTATATTTATTAATACTATGGTGATATAAAATGCTGAAGATATCCTACTTCACTATTCCAATTTGATTAAAACTTCTCAAACTTTGTAGTTCAATTAAGATTCATTTGACTAGATACTACAACTGACAGACCTTATTAGTGATGTAGATACTGTTAATGGGATTTTCTTATAAACATTTATTAAAAACACAGCTTTATTAAAATATTCTTTTTTCAGTTAATGATGTCACAAAAGCATCATGAAAACTACTCTGATCATATCTGGGTCAAATTCAGTTACATTGATTCTTATCAGAGAGTTTGTTCATCAAACGCCAAGAATGTCTAATAATATTTAAGATTTCTTTATACTTATTAAATAATTTTAAAATCTCAAGACTAGATTTATTGGAACTAGAGAGAGAGAAACATCTGTTTACTTTACAATGAATATACTGAATGACAAAGAATTTCATGAAAAGTTTTTATTGTGTTGAAATAATAAAAGTGAACAGAACTTAATAAATGAAACAGGAACTTAGACAGTGATTGAAAAAAAGAAATAAACAGGAACGTGTTACAAGTCATACTGAACCAGTATGGGAGTGAACCAGTATCAGAGCCCCAGTGGCTCAGCTCACTGGGAACACTGGTCTCTCCTCAGCGTCTCTGAGAGCGCAGTCTGGGAGCCCTGGGTGGCCTCACAGGTCACGGAGCCCACCTTGGCCCACTGGTTTGCAGGGAGCCTCAGGGTGCTGCTCCAGCTGTAGAGGGCGCCCCCCCCCAGCACCCCGGGGCTCCTGCTCTCCTCCCAGCTGCTGCTGCTGCCGTCCACCTTCCAGGCCAGACTCCAGTCGGAGGGGAAGCCCTTGTCGGCCAGGCACACCAGCGTGGCCGTCCCCTGCTGCAGCTCCTCCCTGGAGGGGGGCAGCACCGTCAGGGTGGGCCGGACATCACCTAGGAGACACGATCAGCTGTCAATCAAGCTCCAGACATGGGACCCCTTCACTGTGAGAGGGCCGATTCAGGCCTTTGAGGAGTTTCTGCCAGATGTTTCTTCTGCTCCAGCAGTCACTCACTCACACCATGTTTCACTTCCCTTCAAGAAGCCTCTCATGCACATCAGCACAGAGACAATCCTCAGACAGGAGGACATGAAACCACAGAAGAAACGTCCACATGAGGACAAATGTTAAAACTGTCCAAAAACGTTGGTCTAAAATAATGACTTCAAGCGTGAATTAATAGAGAAAATAAACCAACAGCAATCAAACTTTCTTCATGTGGATTTCAGGCAAAGTTTAAAAAATATGGTTTTAAAGTTCAACACGTTTGAGAGAATGAAGTCGATCGTTAACTCGTCCGTAAACATTTATTCAAATAATCGGATCATTTTTCATTATGAAGAAACAAAAACCAACATTCTGATATTTTTCTCGAGGTTCATGTTTTTTACACGTTATAAGTTGAAAGGAGTTTGTAACAAAATGATTAGTAGAGCTTCTCTAATATGAATGTGTAAAGGAGGAGAAACTAAGGCATGAAATCAGAAAGAGATTTAAATTAAGAAACAGATATTTTTACTTTGACTTTTCATACAAATAACGTTTTAAAGTTCACTGATGGAAAGTTTCTCTCTGATTGCAAAATATCAGAGAAACATACATGAATATATAAAAGAATCTATTTTCTGTTTTGGCTGTTGAATATAAATATAAATATAACACATTATAGTCAGAAACAATGAGATTATTAAAGGTTTGACTTACTTCCAACGCTCAGTCTGGTTCCTCCACCAAACGTGATCCACAGTGACACGAAGGCATCGAACCGCCGTACAAAAACCTGTGAGAGTAGAGACACACGACTCTGTGACAGACACACAAACACACTACACACATTCAGTGTGTACAAGACCTCGACCCATCAAACTGATCAACACAACGTAAATGTGTATTCAACCGGTTATTTGATGAATGTTTAACATCTGTTAGTGATATTTAATTAATAAAAACAAATAAATGATTACTAAAGAACATTTTACAAAAATGTATATTAATATTTTAGTGTTTCTTTACACATTTCCAATATCCAAAAAAGTCAAAATGATCATAAATGTATATTTATTGTGCGCTATAAGAATGAAAAAATATCCGTTTTGTTGAATTTTGTCTCATTGTGATGTTAATTTACATTGTAGTAAATTTTGGGGATCTTATAAAACATTCGGGAAGAAAATTTTTCCATCAAACGGCATCAAAGACTCGTTAACGAGCACTGACACATTCCTGATCAATGGAGCGATCAGCTGATTGATCCATTGATCACCAGCGTCATCGGAGGAGTCAGGCACAGCATTTCCATAGAGACACTTTGCATCAGCAGCACATGCTCCAGTGCTCTGGGAGACCTTATAGTCCTGAGAGTTGGACCCTGGAGGACAGCTGTCCTTCATCACAGCAGAAGACACAGAGATCCTCCTCATCACAAACATGACTCTGATCTGCGTCCTCGTCTGGACTCTCCTCTGCTTCACAGGTAAAGTCCAGAGGACCAAAGTCCTCTCCTCTGTGGACGTGCGTCCCTCTGAAATGAAGGAGACACGACCATGACGCTGCTTTATGTCTTTGTCTCCGTGTCCTCAGAGTCCAGAGGCCAGGTCACAGTGACTCAGCCTGGAGCAGTGAGCTCTGCTGCTGGAGGCTCCGTCTCCATCTCATGTACAACCAGTCAGGATGTTTATAGCTCTTATCGTTTAGCCTGGTACCAACAGAGAGACGGAGGAGCTCCTAAGCTGCTGATTTATGATGCTACCACTCGAGCATCAGGGACTCCAGGTCGTTTTACAGGCAGTGGATCAGGATCTTCCTTCACTCTGAGCATCAGTGGAGTCACAGCTGAAGATGCAGCACATTACTACTGTCAGAGTGCTCATGTAATCAACAGTCAGTATGTGTTCACACAGTGAAAAAGAGTCGTACAAAAACCTCCTTCAGTCAGAAGGAACAGAAACCGAACTGACTGCTGACGCACTTCACTGGAGACACACACACACACACACACACACACACACACACAATGTACACGTTCATCAAGAGCTTTTAGTGTTTCACTATTATTACTGGAACCACTAATGAACATTTATTACAAAGAGTTCACGGACAAAAATGATCTTGATGGAATTCAAATGATTCTTTCCCCCCATATGTTCCAACTCAGTCTCACAGCAAAATGTGTAACAGGGACGTTGGTCCACAAAGAAAAACGTAGTATTCGAGATAGTAGATAGTTTTTGAGAAAAGTAAAGATGAAATCAGTAATATTGACATGATATTCGTCTTTTCTCAATCTTTGAACTGTCTGTAAACCAGATACAAAAATGGTATCACTCTATTTTCACTTGATCCTACTGCGTGTTGACCTCCTCTATGCTCATGTAAAATAGTGTGTTTATCACAGATAACAGACCGACAGTCCGCCATTTTCTTTTTTTAGCTGAGGGTAACTTGATAGTCACGTGACCCAATTGCAAGGAAATGTAAATGAATAGGCCGAATAAAACAGAGTATTGTCACCATTTTGGGGGCAAATGGTGACAATACTACGTTGTCCCTTGTGGACCAACGTAGCTTTTACACATTTTGCTGTGCGACAGCTATGAATGAAGAAGTAGGTGAGACTTATTTAAACCACATTACCTGAAACAGAGAGAGAATTATCATGAACGTTCAACGAGGCAAACAGACTTTTATCATCCAGTTGAATGAATAATCTCATTTGATCTGGTCTCTCAGATTAGTGAAGCTGTAGATAAGAGACGATCTGGAGGAATAAGTGCGACCAGGTTGCATTAGTGCGTCTGTCTTTGGGTTCATACAGAATGAGATGTTAGCGTCATGCTACGTGTTGTGAGCTATGAAAGGACTCGTCAGCGTTCATGCGTCTCTGCAGGCGGCGGCTGTTCTTCTTTCTGTCTCATACTCAGATCACGACTGAAAGAACTTGTGTGAAGGAAACGCAGATGTTTCTCATTCTGGTTCATTACTAGAACGTCTACTTATTGAAATAGATGTTCTCTGTTACTGTGTTTTATCAATGAAACCGGCACCAACACACAAAAGACTGAATGCACAGAGAAGTTGAAGCACGAGGTGATTACCTGAAGGCAGCGTTCAATAGGTACGTAGACTGGAAAGCACATGTAGGGAGGGAAGAGCGTTATGGCCGATACTCTAAAAGAGACAGAACAAACCGGCCCAGAGAGAAGAGGACACGAAGAAACACACAATGAAAGGAGGGACACAACCAGCAAGAAGCACACGATCACAAAGTGGGGAAACACAAGAGCCGAGTCCACCGAAATAAAACAGGAAATATTAACTGAAAACTGGAGACAAGAAGAAAATCACCTCAGAGGAGAGTTGTGTGTGACACGTGAACCATGAAGAAATGTTGTTCTACAGAATAAAACCAAGCTGAAGATCCTGGTGGAAACTTCTCTTGATTAATGTTTCACTGTTTAATTCACACGAGTGATGATTGTGTTTGAGGAAACTTTAATAAAGCTCAAACTGTTCTTTGGAGGTTTGAAGAAGAGTCTTCAGTTCATGGTCATGTTAACGTGTTTCTTAAGAAGTTACATCACAGGTGATTTAAATAGTGAAACCCGGTCATGTGACGAGGACTCACTGGCTCCGTGTGTTTGCATACGTGTCCTTCCTCTCTGCTCACACGCCTTAAGAGAGCTGATCAGTGGCGGTCCAGGCCTCACGCACACTGGCACGCCGGCAGCACAATGATGATGTCACTGAGTCTACTGCTGACCAGCCTGGGGCTCCTTGTTCAGGGTGAGACCCTCTTCTGGAGGCTTTGCTTCTCCACAGGGACGTTCTGCTGTGATGGAGAACCAGTGGAACAAGCAGCATGGACCTTCTTCACCTGTTCTCCGTGTTGAAGAAATGAGACGCTTCTGTTTGGATGTTGATCATCTTTCGCCAAACTGGATTGGTCTCAATAACCCTTCTGCTCTTCTTCATGTTTTCCAGGTTCATCAGGAGAAATCCAACTGACTCAGTCTCCTGGATCTCAGTCTGTTGTTCCAGGACAGACTGTCTCCATCAGGTGTAAAGCCAGTTCTGGCATTAGTACCTACCTTCACTGGTACCTACAGAAACCAGAAGAATCTCCCAAACTTTTGATTTATTACGCTACAAGTCGTCAGTCAGGGATCTCAGATCGTTTCAGTGGAAGTGGATCTGGAAGTGACTTCACTCTGACCATCAGAGGAGTTCTGACTGAAGATGCAGGAGATTATTATTGTTCACAGAGTGGCTACAGCTTCCCGTTCACACAGTGAAACAACGTCGTACAAAAACCTCCTCAGCTGGAGAGGAACTGATCCACTCAACAGCTGCACATGAACACAGACACTTAACGTTTGAGTGACACTTCATCGTTTTTAAAGATGTTAGGAAAAATTGTTACGAATAGAATGAATGATAATCTAGTTGAATATGGGAAAAGATCCGTTAATACAATTTACATGATCACTATATATTAATATCTGAAATACAATATTCACTTCTATATGTTTTCAAGAATCATTTTTGTGATTCGGATTTATTTGTAAATTTGATAGATATGAAATAGTTTAATAATAACTATATAATAACATAGTAAGTTATATAGTTATAGTTGATTTGGATCTCACTGCTTTTATTACAGTCTTAGTAGTACTGGAACTCAGTGCGGCGTTCAACAAGGTCAAAGGTGCCAATTTACGAGACGGACTGAGAGTCTGGGTGAGACTCTCTGGCTCAACACGACGCTGGTTTGAATCCTACTTGAAGAACTGCGAACACTTTGTGTCTGTAGATAATTACACATCACAGCGGATTAAAACACATGAGGTGTTCCCCAAGGTTCCTTCCTGGGGCCTCTCCTGTTCAACATCTACATGCTTCCACCTGCTCACATTATGCAAAGAAACAAAGTGTGTATTCGTTATTATGCAGACGACACACACATCTATTATGATCCCTACTGTCACCTGAAGAATATATCAAGGATAAGAGGCTTCAACAGGATGTTATTAACTTGTCACTGAACAGTTCAGGGCCCAAAACACACACGTGACCTGCTGCCACGTTACGAACCATCCCGACCCCCCAGGTCCTCTGGCTCTGCTCTCTGTTCCCAGAGTCACAACCAAACATGGAGAGGCAGCTTCACATCTTCTTCTGCACATCTGGAACAAACTCCCAGAAAGCTGCAGGTCTGCTGAGACTCTCAGCGGCTTCAAATTAAGACTGAAGACGTTTCTGTTGGCTGCGGCTTTTAATTGAAACAGACAGGGATGTTGATCCATTTACTGCATCTCTGCATATTATTACTGTACCTTACTATTTAGAGTCTAAAACTACACTACACTCTTTAATGTGAAGCCCTTTGAACTGCCTTATTGTTGAAATGTGCTAATTCAAATTAACTTTATTAATACTATGATAAAAAATAATGAAGATATCCTACTTTCCAATCCCAATTTACTTAACACATCTCATACTTTGTTGTTCAATTAAGATTATTAATTGAATAATTAATGAGTTGATTTAACTGTTTCTAGATGTATTGCAACCAAAGAAAGACAAACATATGTTTACTTTACAAATAACAAGCCTAATATTTTAGTATTTCTTGCCATTTCCAATAGTTATAAAAATTCAAGTTGAGAACTTTTTCTGCATTTATTGGAACTAGAAAAAGAGAAACATCCGTCTACTTTACAATAACATACTGATGACAATGAACGTTCTGCTGTGATGGAGAACCAGTGGAACAAGCAGCGTGGACCTTCTTCACCTGTTCTCCGTGTTGAAGAAATGAGACTCTTCTGTTTGGATCTTGATCATCTTTCTCCAAACTGGATTTGTCTCAATAACCCTTCTGCTCTTCTTCATGTTTTCCAGGTTCATCAGGAGAAATCCAGCTGACTCAGTCTCCTGGATCTCAGTCTGTTCTTCCAGGACAGACTGTCTCCATCAGGTGTAATGCCAGTTCTGGCATTAGTACCTACCTTCACTGGTACCTACAGAAACCAGAAGAATCTCCCAAACTTTTGATTTATCGTGCCTCAAGTCGTCAGTCAGGGATCTCAGATCGTTTCAGTGGAAGTGGATCTGGAAGTGACTTCACTCTGACCATCAGAGGAGTTCTGACTGAAGATGCAGGAGATTATTATTGTCAGCAGGGTTACAGCCAGTTCACACAGTGAAACAACGTCGTACAAAAACCTCCTCAGCTGGAGAGGAACTGATCCACTCAACAGCTGCACAGGAACACTTTACGTTTGAGTGACACTTCATCGTTTTGTCAGGAAATATTGTTACGAATAGAATGAATGATAATCTAGTTGAATAAGGGAAAATATATGTTAATACAATTAACATGATCACTATATATCCCTGAAATACAGTATTCACCTCTATATGTTTTTAAGGATTATTTTTGAGTGATTCCCGTTGTGGCTAAAACTCGCTCTCTTTGGCCCCTATTCATGCGTCCTATCGCTTTAACCACGCCGGGAGATCGGGACCAGTCGTCTGACTCGCGGCTTTGCCTCCGAACGGAAAACCAGGAGTAATTACAACAATTGAGTTGTAGTGGTTTGGATGCCTTACGATGCCAATCACCATCAAGTGTAGTCACAGGGCTGAGGTCGAGGTTAAAGACAGTATCTGCCGTAACCCGTTTCTCCCCCAACTATGCGCCATTCACACCAACTTATAAGAGCGCCCGCCTCCCCTGTAGGAGGCACACTTTGCTTTTAACATAAAGAAAAAGAACAAAAATAAGTTATTTTAATACATGGACATGAACTTAAGTGTGGCTCATAAATTCCTATTTAATTATTGGTGTGATTAATATAAAATTCAACTAGTTTATTTTCCAACCAACCTAAATGGATGGTTTGTCTTTTAATGATCTTGTAATCATAGTAAAACGCTAAAGTTATGTTTTATTTGGATCTCACTGCTTTTATAACAGTCTTACTATTACTGGAACTCAGTGCGGCGTTCAACAAGGTCAACGGTGACACATTACGAGACGGACTAAAGGCCGGCGCATGTTTCTGCGTTTGCGTCTTTACGTCGTGTCGACGCACTCGTTTCACTTCAAGGTTCTAAAAATCTTGCGTGTGTTGCAGAGCGATTCACCTCCAGTTGGTTGGTTTATTTATTTATCATAGACTTTATTGCCCCGTGAATCGACACTGCTGCTTTTCATCACGGACACATTTGTCCCGTATTTTCCTCGACAACGTTGTTCCCCTCGTTTGTGGAGATCTCCCTCCATAAATCAGAGGCCATCTGGCGTCCTTATAGTCCGCCAATGACGGCTTGTAGAAGCGGTCATATATACGCATTTCTTCCCACAAAAGCTCTTCAATCTGATCCGTTCTCTCGTAAACATCCTTCCTTTTAATAATGGCCGTATTGTGCTATGAAAACGGAAATGTGAGACTCCGTAAAGTACGTAGTTAGCAGACCAATCACAGCCTTGCGGAATGCAGGAGGCTGCGTAGATTTTGAGAAAAGTCTAGAAAAATGGGTCGACGCACGCAAGGAGGTGTGAAAAGACACGCAAGGGACACGCAAGGGGCTCTTGCGTCTGCCTGTCCTTGCGTCTCTCTGAAAACACAGAAGCATAAACTAGGCTTAAGAGTCACACGACGTTGGTTTGAATCCTACTTGAAGAACCGCGAGCACTTTGTTTTCTGTAGCTAATTACACATCACAGCGGATTAAAACACATGAGGTGTTCCCCAAGGTTCCTTCCTGGGGCCTCTCCTGTTCAACATCTACATGCTTCCACCTGCTCACATTATGCAAAGAAACAAAGTGTGTATTCGTTATTATGCAGACGACACACACATCTACTATGATCCCTACTGTCACCTGAAGAATATATCAAGGATTAGAGGCTTCAACAGGATTTTAATAACTTGTCACTGAACGGTTCAGGGCCAAAACACACGCGTGACCTGCTGCCACGTTACGAACCATCCCGACCCCCCAGGTCCTCTGGCTCTGCTCTCTGTTCCCAGAGTCACAACCAAACATGGAGAAGCAGCTTCACATCTTCTGCTACACATCTGGAACAAACTGCCACAAAGCTGCAGGTCTGCTGAGACTCTCAGCGGCTTCAAATTAAGACTGCAGCTTTTAATTGAACCAGATAGGGATGTTGATCCATTTACTGCATCACTGCATATTATTACTGTATTTTACTATTTAGAGTCTAAAACTACACTACACGCTCTAACGTGAAGCCCTTTGAATTGCCTTATTGTTGAAATGTGCTAACTCAAAAGAACTTTATTAATACTATGATAAAAAATAATGAAGATATCCTACTTTCCAATCCCAATTTACTTAACACATCTTGGACTGTTGTCAAATTAAGATTATTTTGACTAGAAACAATAACTGACAAACCCTGTGGTGTAGATTCTGTTAAAGGGATTTTCCTTAATACATTTAAAAATCAGACTTGTTAAAAAAGTATTTTTTTTTCCCTTGATGGTGAAACGAAGTATGACATTACTTTGATCACATTCAGTTAAGTTCATTACACATTTCCAATAAATATGAAATCTCAAGACTCAGTTGAGTTAACTGTTTCTAGATGTATTGCAACCAAAGAAAGACAAACATATGTTTACTTTACAATAACAAGCCTAATATTTTAGTATTTCTTGCCATTTCCAATAGTTATAAAAATTCAAGTTGAGAACTTTTTCTGCATTTATTGGAACTAGAGAAAGAGAAACATCCGTCTACTTTACAATAACATACTGATGACAATGAATTTGATGAAATGTTATTTATTGTGTTGAACAAAATAAAAGAACAGAACTTATTGAATGAAACAGCAACTTAGACAGTGTTTAAAACAAGAAATGAACAGAAAATGTAGAGTTACAGGCAGACTGAACCAGTATGAGAGTGAACCAGTATCAGAGCCCCAGTGGCTCAGCTCACTGGGAACACTGGTCTCTCCTCAGCGTCTCTGAGAGCGCAGTCTGGGAGCCCTGGGTGGCCTCACAGGTCACGGAGCCCACCTTGGCCCACTGGTCTGCAGGGAGCCTCAGGGTGCTGCTCCAGCTGTAGAGGGCGCCCCCCCCCAGCACCCCGGGGCTCCTGCTCTCCTCCCAGCTGCTGCTGCTGCTGCCGTCCACCTTCCAGGCCAGACTCCAGTCGGAGGGGAAGCCCTTGTCGGCCAGGCACACCAGCGTGGCCGTCCCCTGCTGCAGCTCCTCCCTGGAGGGGGGCAGCACCGTCAGGGTGGGCCGGACATCACCTAGGAGACACGACCAGCTGTCAATCAAGCACCAGACATGGGACCCTTCACTGTGAGAGGGCCGATTCAGTCCTTTGAGGAGTTTCTGCCAGATGTTTCTTCTGCTCCAGCAGTCACTCACTCACACCATGTTTCACTTCCCTTCAAGAAACCTCTCATGCACATCAGCACAGAGACAATCCTCAGACAGGAGGACATGAAACCACAGAAGAAACGTCCACATGAGGACAAATGTTAAAACTGTCCAAAAACGTTGGTCTAAAATAATGACTTCAAGCGTGAATTAATAGAGAAAATAAACCAACAGCAATCAAACTTTCTTCATGTGGATTTCAGGAAAAATTTAAAATGATGGTTTTAAAGTTCAAGACGTTTGGGAGAATGAAGTCGATCGTTAACTCGTCCGTAAACATTTATTCCAATAATCGGATAATTTTTCATTATGAAGAAAACAAAAACCAACATTCTGATATTTTTACTTTTAATAAAAATTACGTTTTAAAGATTACTGATGGAAAGTTTTTCTCTGATTGCAAAATATCTGAAAAACATACATAAATATATAAAAGCATCTATTTTCTGTTTTGCCTGTTGAATACAAATATAAATATAACACATTATAGTCAGAAACAATGAGATTATTAAAGATTTGACTTACTTCCAACGCTCAGTCTGGTTCCTCCACCAAACGTGTACCACAGTGACACGAAGGCATCGAACCGCCGTACAAAAACCTGTGAGAGTAGAGACACACGACTCTGTGACAGACACACAAACACACTACACACATTCAGTGTGTACAAGACCTCGACCCATCAAACTGATCAACACAAAGTAAATGTGTATTCAACCGGTTATTTGATGAACGTTTGACATCTGTGAGTGATATTTAATTAATAAAAAACAAATCAATGATTACTAAAGAACATTTTACAAAAATGTATATTAATATTTTAGTGTTTCTTTACACATTTCCAATATCCAAAAAAGTGAAAATGATCATAAATGTATATTTATTGTGCGCTATAAGAATAAAAAAATATCCATTTTGATGAATTTTGTTCATCAAAAATCATAAATCATGTCAATTTACATTGTAGTAAAATTTGGGGATTTTATAAAACATTCCAGAAGAAAAGTTTTCCATCAAACGGCATCAAAGACTCGTTAACGAGCACTGACACATTCCTGATCAATGGAGCGATCAGCTGATTGATCCATTGATCACCAGCGTCATCAGAGGAGTCAGGCACAGCATTTCCATAGAGACACTTTGCATCAGCAGCACATGCTCCAGTGCTCTGGGAGACCTTATAGTCCTGAGAGTTGGACCCTGGAGGACAGCTGTTCTTCATCACAGCAGAAGACACAGAGATCCTCCTCATCACAAACATGACTCTGATCTGCGTCCTCGTCTGGACTCTCCTCTGCTTCACAGGTAAAGTCCAGAGGACCAAAGTCCTCTCCTCTGTGGACGTGCGTCCCTCTGAAATGAAGGAGACACGACCATGACGCTGCTTTATGTCTTTGTCTCCGTGTCCTCAGAGTCCAGAGGCCAGGTCACAGTGACTCAGCCTGGAGCAGTGAGCTCTGCTGCTGGAGGCTCCGTCTCCATCTCATGTACAACCAGTCAGAGTGTTTATGGCTCTAATCGTTTAGCCTGGTACCAACAGAGAGACGGAGGAGCTCCAAAGCTGCTGATTTATTATGCTACCACTCGAGCATCAGGGACTCCAGGTCGTTTTACAGGCAGTGGATCAGGATCTTCCTTTACTCTGAGCATCAGTGGAGTCACAGCTGAAGATGCAGCACATTACTACTGTCAGAGTTTTCATGTAATCAACAGTCAGTATGTGTTCACACAGTGAAAAAGAGTCGTACAAAAACCTCCTTCAGTCAGAAGGAACAGAAACCGAACTGACAGCTGACGCACTTCACTGCAGACAAACACACACACACACACACACACTGTACACGTTCATCAAGAGCTTTTAGTGTTTCACTATTATTACTGTAACCACTAATGAACATTTATTACAAAGAGTTCAAGGACAAAAATGATCTTGATAAAATTCAAATGATTCTTTCCCCCCATATGTTCCAACCCAGTCTCACAGCAAAATGTGTAAAAGGGACGTTGGTCCACAAGGGAAAACGTAGTATTCGAGATAGTAGGTAGATTTTGAGAAAAGTAAAGATGAAATCAGTAATATTGACATGATATTCGTCTTTTCTCAATCTTTGAACTGTCTGTAAACCAGATACAAAAATGGTATCACTCTGCTTTCACTTGATCCTACTGCGTGTTGACCTCCTCTATGCTCATGTAAAATAGTGCGTTCATCACAGATAATAGCTGAGGGTAACTTGATAGTCACGTGACCCAATTGCAAGGAAATGTAAATGAATAGGCCGAATAAAACGGAGTATTGTCACCATTTTGGGGGCAAACGGTGACAATACTACGTTTTCCCTTGTGGACCAACGTAGCTTTTACACATTTTGCTGTGCGACAGCTATGAATGAAGAAGTAGGTGAGACTTATTTAAACCACATTACCTGAAACAGAGAGAGAATTATCATGAACGTTCAACGAGGAAAACAGACTTTATTCATCCAGTTGAATGAATGATCTCATTTGATCTGGTCTCTCAGATTAGTGAAGCTGCAGATAAGAGACGATCTGGAGGAATAAGTGCGACCAGGTTGCATTAGTGCGTCTGTCTTTGGGTTCATACAGAATGAGATGTTAGCGTCATGCTACGTGTTGGGAGCTATGAAAGGACTCGTCAGCGTTCATGTGTCTCTGCAGGCGGCGTGTCACAGGGTGAGGTCAAGTTGGGTTTTTGTCGGCATGTTTTGGTCTTGTCATTTCCGTTTTATTTTGAAAGTAGTAACCTTCCTCTCGTTTCAGGTCACTTGCCCTTCCTCATGTCACCAGTCGAATCGTCTCCCCTGATTCCTAATTGTGTCCACCTGTTTCCCATTACCCTCATGTGTCTTATAGTCTGCGTCTCCCTTTGTCTTGTGCCTGAGTGTACCACCATGCGATCACCCAAGCCTCGCCACAGCCACAGGATTTGTTATTACCATTGCCTTGTCTCGGAATGATTACCCCTTTATGTTTTTCCCTCTGAGTAAGAGTGACCTTTGTTGGAGCTTCTTAGTTTTAGTTTTAGCGCGCTTTCGAAGCCGTTCGTTTTCCTCGTTTAAGAGAGATTTTAGTTTGTTAACCTTCGTCAGAAACGCTGATAGCTCATAGCCGTTTGTTTGTTTTTTACGACGCGAATAAAGACGCCAAACCCTCTGCATCTGAGTCCTCATTTTTATCTGGTCCTGACACGGCGGCTGTTCTTCTTTCTGTCTCATACTCAGATCACGACTGAAAGAACTTGTGTGAAGGAAACGCAGATGTTTCTCATTCCGGTTCATTACTAGAACGTCTACTTATTGAAATAGATGTTCTCTGTTACTGTGTTTTATCAATGAAACCAGCACCAACACACAAAAGACTGAATGCGCAGAGAAGTTGAAGCACGAGGTGATTACCTGAAGGCAGCGTTCAATAGGTACGTAGACTGGAAAGCACATGTAGGGAGGGAAGAGCGTTATGGCCGATACTCTAAAAGAGACAGAACAAACCGGCCCAGAGAGAAGAGGACACGAAGAAACACACAATGAAAGGAGGGACACAACCACCAAGAAGCACACGATCACAAAGTGGGGAAACACAAGAGCCAAGTCCACCGAAATAAAACAGGAAATATTAACTGAAAACTGGAGACAAGAAGAAAATCACCTCAGAGGAGAGTTGTGTGTGACACGTGAACCATGAAGAAATGTTGTTCTACAGAATAAAACCAAGCTGAAGATCCTGGTGGAAACTTCTCTTGATTAATGTTTCACTGTTTAATTCACACGAGTGATGATTGTGTTTGTGGAAACTTTAATAAAGCTCAAACTGTTCTTTGGAGGGTTGAAGAAGAGTCTTCAGTTCATGGTCATGTTAACGTGTTTCTTAAGAAGTTGCATCACAGGTGATTTAAATAGCGAAACCCGGTCATGTGACGAGGACTCACTGGCTCCGTGTGTTTGCATACGTGTCCTTCCTCTCTGCTCACACGCCTTAAGAGAGCTGATCAGTGGCGGTCCAGGCCTCACGCACACTGGCACGCCGGCAGCACAATGATGATGTCACTGAGTCTACTGCTGACCAGCCTGGGGCTCCTTGTTCAGGGTGAGACCCTCTTCTGGAGGCTTTGCTTCTCCACAGGGACGTTCTGCTGTGATGGAGAACCAGTGGAACAAGCAGCATGGACCTTCTTCACCTGTTCTCCGTGTTGAAGAAATGAGACTCTTCTGTCTGGATGTTGATCATCTTTCTCCAAACTGGATTTGTCTCAATAACCCTTCTGCTCTTCTTCATGTTTTCCAGGTTCATCAGGAGAAATCCAGCTGACTCAGTCTTCTGGATCTCAGTCTGTTCTTCCAGGACAGACTGTCTCCATCAGGTGTAAAGCCAGTTCTGGCATTAGTAACTACCTTCACTGGTACCTACAGAAACCAGAAGAATCTCCCAAACTTTTGATTTATCGTGCCTCAAGTCGTCAGTCAGGGATCTCAGATCGTTTCAGTGGAAGTGGATCTGGAAGTGACTTCACTCTGACCATCAGAGGAGTTCTGACTGAAGATGCAGGAGATTATTATTGTCAGCAGGGTTTAAGCTTCCCGTTCACACAGTGAAACAACGTCGTACAAAAACCTCCTCAGCTGGAGAGGAACTGATCCACTCAACAGCTGCACAGGAACACAGACACTTAACGTTTGAGTGACACTTCATCGTTTTTAAAGTTGTCAGAAAATATTGTTACAAATAGAATGAATTATAATCTAGTTGAATATGGGAAAAGATCCGTTAATACAATTTACATGATCACTATATATTAATCTCTGAAATACAATATTCACCTCTATATGTTTTCAAGGATCATTTTTGTGATTCGGATTTATTTGTTAATATGATAGATATAAAAGTTTAATAATAACTATATAATAATATGGTTAGTTATATAGTTATAGGTAGTTATAGTTTATTTTCCAACCAACCTAAATGGATGGTTTGTGTTTTAATGATCTTGTAATCCTAGTAGAACACTACAGTTGTGTTTTATTTGGATCCCACTGCTTTTATTACAGTCTTAGTATTACTGGAACTCAGTGCGGCGTTCAACAAGGTCAAAGGTGACACATTACGAGACGGACTGAGAGTCTGGGTGAGACTCTCTGGCTCAACTCGACGCTGGTTTGAATCCTACTTGAAGAACCGCGAGCACTTTGTGTCTGTAGATAATTACACATCACAGCGGATTAAAACACATGAGTGTTCCCCAAGGTTCCTTCCTGGGGCCTCCCCTGTTCAACATCTACATGCTTCCACCTGCTCACATTATGCAAAGAAACAAAGTGTGTATTCGTTATTATGCAGACGACACACACATCTACCATGATCCCTAATGTCACCTGAAGAGTATTTCAAGGATTAGAGGGCTTCAACAGGATTTTAATAACTTGTCACTGAGCGGTTTCCGGGCCAAAACACACGCCTGACCTGGCTGCCACGTTAACAAACCATCCCGACCCCCCAGGTCCTCTGGCTCTGCTCTCTGTTCCCAGAGGCACAACCAACCATGGAGAAACAGCTTCACTCCTTCTGCTCCACATCTGGAACAACCCCCAGAAAGCTGCAGGTCTGCTGAGACTCTCAGCGGCTTCAAATTAAGACTGAAGACGTTTCTGTTAGCTGAAGCTTTTAATTGAACCCAGACAGGGATGTTGATCCATTTACTGCATCTCTGCATATTATTACTGTATTTTACTATTTAGGGTCTAAAACTTCACTACACTCTTTAATGTGAAGCCCTTTGAACTGCCTTATTGTTGAAGTGTGCTTATTCAAATGAACTTTATTAATACTATGATAAAAAATAATGAAGATATCCTACTTTACAATCCCAAATTACTTAACACATCTCAGACTTTGTTGTTCAATTAAGATTATTTTGACTAGAAACAATAACTGATGGACCCTATTAGTGATGTAGATTCTGTTAAAGGGTTTTTCTTAATACATTTTAAAAATCAGCCTTGTTAAAAAAGTATTTTTTTTTCACTTAAAGGTGAAATGAAATATGACAATACTTTGATCATATCTGGGTCACATTCAGTTAAGTTCTTTACACATTTCCAATAAATATAAAATCTCAAGACTCAGTTGAGTTAACTGTTTCTAGATGTATTGCAACCAAAGAAAGACAAACATATGTTTACTTTACAATAACAATCCTAATATTTTAGTATTTCATGCCATTTCCAATAATTATAAAAATTTAAGTTGAGAACCTTTTTTGCATTCATTGGAACTAGAGAAAGAGAAACATCCGTCTACTTTACAATAACATACTGATGACAATGAATTTGATGAAATGTTATTTATTGTGTGATTAAAACAAGAAATGAACAGAAAATGTAGATTTACAGGCAGACTGAACCAGTATGAGAGTGAACCAGTATCAGAGCCCCAGTGGCTCAGCTCACTGGGAACACTGGTCTCTCCTCAGCGTCTCTGAGAGCGCAGTCTGGGAGCCCTGGGTGGCCTCACAGGTCACGGAGCCCACCTTGGCCCACTGGTCTGCAGGGAGCCTCAGGGTGCTGCTCCAGCTGTAGAGGGCGCCCCCCCCCAGCACCCCGGGGCTCCTGCTCTCCTCCCAGCTGCTGCTGCTGCCGTCCACCTTCCAGGCCAGACTCCAGTCGGAGGGGAAGCCCTTGTCGGCCAGGCACACCAGCGTGGCCGTCCCCTGCTGCAGCTCCTCCCTGGAGGGGGGCAGCACCTTCAGGGTGGGACGGACATCACCTAGGAGACACGATCAGCTGTCAACTTAAGCACCAGACATGGGACCCCTTCACTGTGAGAGGGCCGATTCAGTCCTTTGAGGAGTTTCTGCCAGATGTTTCTTCTGCTCCAGCAGTCACTCACTCACACCATGTTTCACTTCCCTTCAAGAAGCCTCTCATGCACATCAGCACAGAGACAATCCTCAGACAGGAGGACATGAAACCACAGAAGAAACGTCCACATGAGGACAAATGTTAAAACTGTCCAAAAACGTTGGTCTAAAATAATGACTTCAAGCGTGAATTAATAGAGAAAATAAAGCAACAGCAATCAAACTTTCTTCATGTGGACTTCAGGCAAAATTTAAAAATATGGTTTTAAAGTTCAAGACGTTTGAGAGAATGAAGTCGATCGTTAACTCGTCCGTAAACATTTATTCAAATAATCGGATCATTTTTCATTATGAAAAAACAAAAACCAACATTCTGATATTTTTCTTGAGGTTCATGTTTTTTACACGTTATAAGTTGAAAGGAGTTTGTAACAAAATGTTTAGTAGAGCTTCTCTAATATAAATGTATAAAGGAGCAGAAACTCAGGCATGAAATCAGAAAGAGATTTAAATAAAGAAACAGATAATTTTACTTTGACTTTTCATACAAATAACGTTTTAAAGATTACTGATGGAAAGTTTTTCTCGGATTGCAAAATATCTGAAAAACATACATTAATATATTAAAGCATCTATTTTCTTTTTTGCCTGTTGAATACAAATATAAATATAACACATTATAGTCAGAAACAATGCGATTATTAAAGGTTTGACTTACTTCCAACGCTCAGTCTGGTTCCTCCACCAAACGTGTACCACAGTGACACGAAGGCATCGAACCGCCGTACAAAAACCTGTGAGAGTAGAGACACACGACTCTGTGACAGACACACAAACACACTACACACATTCAGTGTGTACAAGACCTCGACCCATCAAACTGATCAACACAAAGTAAATGTGTATTCAACCGGTTATTTGATGAACGTTTAACATCTGTGAGTGATATTTAATTAATAAAAAAACAATAAATGATTACTAAAGAACATTTTACAAAAATGTATATTAATATTTTAGTGTTTCTTTACACATTTCCAATATCCAAAAAAGTGAAAATGATCATAAATGTATATTTATTGTGCGCTATAAGAATGAAAAAATATCCGTTTTGATGAATTTTGTCTCATTCTGATGTTAATTTACATTATAGTAAATTTTGGGGATCTTATAAAACATTCCAGAAGAAAAGTTTTCCATCAAACGGCATCAAAGACTCGTTAACGAGCACTGACACATTCCTGATCAATGGAGCGATCAGCTGATTGATCCATGATCACCAGCGTCATCAGAGGAGTCAGGCACAGCATTTCCATAGAGACACTTTGCATCAGCAGCACATGCTCCAGTGCTCTGGGAGACCTTATAGTCCTGAGAGTTGGACCCTGGAGGACAGCTGTCCTTCATCACAGCAGAAGACACAGAGATCCTCCTCATCACAAACATGACTCTGATCTGCGTCCTCGTCTGGACTCTCCTCTGCTTCACAGGTAAAGTCCAGAGGACCAAAGTCCTCTCCTCTGTGGACGTGCGTCCCTCTGAAATGAAGGAGACACGACCATGACGCTGCTTTATGTCTTTGTCTCCGTGTCCTCAGAGTCCAGAGGCCAGGTCACATTGACTCAGCCTGGAGCAGTGAGCTCTGCTGCTGGAGGCTCCGTCTCCATCTCATGTACAACCAGTCAGAGTGTTCATGGCTCTAATCATTTAGCCTGGTACCAACAGAGAGACGGAGGAGCTCCTAAGCTGCTGATTCATTATGCTACCAGTCGACCATCAGGGACTCCAGGTCGTTTTACAGGCAGTGGATCAGGATCTTCCTTCACTCTGAGCATCAGTGGAGTCACAGCTGAAGATGCAGCACATTACTACTGTCAGAGTCTTCACTCCATCAACAGTCAGTGGGTGTTCACACAGTGAAAAAGAGTCGTACAAAAACCTCCTTCAGTCAGAAGGAACAGAAACCGAACTGACAGCTGACGCACTTCACTGGAGACACACACACACACACACACACACACACACACACACACAATGTACACGTCCATCAAGAGCTTTCAGTGTTTCACTATTATTACTGGAACCACTAATGAACATTTATTAAAAAGGGTTCAAGGACAAAAATGATCTTGATGGAATTCAAATGAGTCTTTCCACCATTTGTTCACATCCCTTTACAGACGTTTGTTCTGATCTGATCTACCAAAAGAATGATG